CCGGCATCTTCAGCATAACCCAGTATCCAAGTGTTGGTACTGGTGGGAGGGTAGGCAAGAAACCACCAAAGCAGCATCACAAAGTCCTTAGATTCTAAGAAAACTATTACTAACACTAAAAAAATACTATAAAAAATAATAAAATGCTAACTATATACAAGAATAAAACAGTCTTTTCAGAAAGTGTGTCACAAGGGACGAGAGAACAGCTGAAGCTCTGACTTGGATCACGCAGCAGTGAGAAGAAACTGAGGGCATGGTCAGTCTGTCCCACCCTTTATCGCCTCTGTCGAAACCATGAGACGGAACAAGGGTGCACTCATGGACCAACGGAACTACTACTTTTTAAAGCTCTGGCTCCAGGTGCATGGTGCACGTGCATAACCCTCAGTGGAATCCAATAGGGACCATCACTCGAAGAAGAATTTTGACTTCAATGCTCCAAGTTTAGTCAATTATTCTAGCATAGTTTCTTGAGACAAACTGTGGGGATTCTCTCCAATACTCACTGCAACATTATCTAGTCAGAGTAATTTCCCCAGCTATTCTTTATCTTTTAGTATGAAACTTCCACTACAATGATTACATGTAAACTTGTCAATCAATATGTTCAAGGAAATTAAGATGAGAAAAAAAAAAAACATACAAAGTGATAGTATTTTATTTTCATTACTGAATAGTAGGGTCCAATATAGAATATTCTGCATACATTATGTCTATACTATGGGTAACATTTTCAAAAGCACATTAGTGACTTAGGGGTCTAAGTCCCACTTTCAAACATGAAGGACTGTCAGCAAGAGAGGCTTCTAAGTCAGTCACTTTTGAAAATTGGACTTTGGTTGAAATTTTCAGAAGTGCGAAATTCATCATCTTCATGACTAGAGTATTACACAGACATACAGAAAATTTCCAAATCTTTACATTCAAATTTGAAGCATGGAATCTTTATTAAGCACAAACTTTATTAAGAACACTGGTGGTTTTGGTATGTTTTATGATAAGCTTGAATCTTTAAAAGACAATGCTAGTAATATTTTATAATCTGATCATATTTGGTGTTTCATTATAATGTAACTCACTAGCTATATATCATTTATCAAATCATTTTACGTGAAAAAGTATCCCATTTGAAGTCAAACTATGTCAAGTCAAACTCAGTCAGATTGAGATGTGCAGGTTTTTTTAAATGAACGGGAAAGCAGGAAACAAGCACCACTCTAACCTGAATTTCTAGACTAGTTCACCATGTCTTGTCTCCAGAAGTTAATATTTACCTCTTTACAAAAGTTTGTCAAAAGTTCAGTAAAAAAACTAGTAGACCCAATATTTCAACAGAACCCAAGCATCCTCACTGTCCTAACAAAGAAGTGTTACTTATATGTACAAAGCTTTGAGGGGAAGTTGGTTCTTTTATTTTGCTTTACTACAGTATCACTAGTCTCTTACCTCTTTTTTTTCTTCTCTCTCGAATTATCTTCTGAGCTATCCTCCTCCATCGGGGCAAAGAGCTCAGAAGTTTAAACTTTGACATTATGGAGATGTCATTGCAGACTGCAGGACGCAATTCATTGAACAGGAATCTCAAACGTTCAATGACAGGAGCACAAACTTCCTTGTAGGAGCGGCCTTGTTCCTGATGTGTCTAAAACAGGAATGGAAACAGAGATTATAAATTTAATAAGGGAATAAAATGTAAAGGAGTCAATTGTCATTTTTAATAATTAAGGTTGAAGAGAAGTTAGACACAGGTGGTTGGAGGCTTACCTTAATTAGCGAGCATTTTGCTTGATAGACAACACGACATACATCTACTACAGATTTCGGTAAGGTTCTGTGTTTGACTTGGTCAACTCCCAGGGTACCAGGATGTACTAGAGACAATGCCACATGACCTTAATGGGAAAAAACACACTAAGAATATCTATTTCTAAGATTAAGGGGAGTGGGAGTTTAAAAA